CGAGACCTCGAGAGGAGAATGGAGGAGAAGGGATTGCGGCGTGGCCATCCCCCTTGGGGGGGTGAGTTCTTGCTTTCTGTCTCTCTGTCTCTCTCTGTCTTTCTGGCAAGTGCACGCGCCCTATAGCAAAAACCTCTCCAAAAAAAAAGAAAAAAAAATTTAGAGGCGTATCATGTTAGTTAAGCTCCAGGTGGTCAGATGAACTGGGGCATGCTGGGACATGCCCTCCACGGTAAAGCACGGCTTATTGTATCTTTTATCTCCTCCTACATTTTTTTTTAGCCCGAGGCATGTGCGCTCACCCAGAGGCGCAGCTGCAGTCCCGCCTCCATTTCTCCATCCCATTGGAATGTGGAGCTCACATACCCCCAGCATGGTTTTGTTTTTCTTTCCAAACGCTGAGGCCAGAATTTGAATCACGTGGTAGGCCACTTGGGATCCAGTTCCCTTAACCACTAGACCACTGGGATGGCCCCTCCTACCACTTTTTAATTTGGATGTTGAAGGCAGTGTACTAAATACTGCTCCAGTCCAGTCACTGGACGACTTGGTAAGGTGCCATGTCTGATGGAGTACAGGGCTAGGGCGGGCTCTAGGATGGGAAAATATTGAGGGACGGATACTGTGTCCTATGACCCAGCGTATCCCAGGGTCCTGGATGTGTGTATGAGCTAAGCAGACAGTGCCAAGTCTCTGGGAAGCCCCAGTGGGAGAGTCTCACCGAGAATCCTAGGGTTCTGGTGCAAAACCACACCTTGTACAACAGAGAGCCTTCAGCGTCTGAAAAGTAGTTCTTGCCACATTGCGGAAGAGGCAGCAAATAAATGATTCTTGTTTTCAGTCTCTATGTCTTGGGACACTTAGTTATGAATAGATCATCAGAACAGCACTTGGTTCTTTTTTTTTTTTTTTTTTTTTTTTAATTTGCTACAGGATGCATGTACTTGCCAGAAAGAGAGGGAGAGAAAGAGAGAAAGAGAGAGAGAGAGAGAACACACCCCCTTCTGGGGGTCGCGGGGAGGATGGTCACACTATAATGCCTTCTCCTTCATTCTTCTCAGGATTTGGGGCATGCATACACATGTGCTCAGATTTTGTTTGTTTGTTTGTTTTGCTATAGGGCGTGTGCTCACCAGAGAGAGAGAGAAAGAGAGGGAAAGTGAGAAATCACCCCTTGGGGGAATGGCCATGCCACAGTCCCTTGTCTTCCATTCTTCTCTTGAGATTTAGGTCACACACACATGTGCCCGGAATGATTTTCAGGCCGCTGGGGCTGGGGCTGGGACTCATATGGCACAACTGGGTGGCATCCAGCCGCCTTAACCACACCACCAGTTGGCCCCTTGTTTTCTTCTCATCTTCCTTGTCCTCCTCTTCTCCTCCTTCACACCTCCTCTTCTTTCTTCTTTTAATTGCTAGAGAACACGTGCATTTGTCAACAAGAGAGAGAAAGGACTCCTCCATGGAGTAGGGTCATGCCTCAACCTCTTCTCCATTTCTTCATCATGTCAAGATTTGGAGTATGTACACACATGTACTCGGCATGTTTTTAAAGCTGCCCATGCCAGGATTCAAACTGCAGTCAGCCATAATTCAACTCCCTTAACCATTAGGCCAAGGGCTGACCCTCATTCTTTTTAATATTGTATAATAGTCCACCATATAAACATATCGCAATGTGCATACCTTCTGTTGTAGACATTTCAGTTATGTATTGTTTGGGCCTGCCAAGAATAATGCTGCTAGGAGCCTTCCTGTATCTCAGTGGAACTACGTACTCCTTTCTCTTGAGAACATACCTAGATGTAGAATTACTGGATCTCAGGCTAGGCATTTTTAGAACACATTGCCAAACAGTTTCCCAAAGTAGTTGAAACATTTTATACTTCCACCAGCAAGGTAGGAGTTCCAGTTGCTCCATATTCTTGCCAACACTTGCCATCGTCAGTCTTTTTCATTTGAGTCCTTATAGTAGGCATGTGGCTATCTTACATCAATTTGCATTTCCCTGATGAGCAATGATGATAAGCTATGATAGATTGTTTTGCTTGTTTATTTATTTATTTATGTTAGTTTTTTTGCTATAGGGCATGTGTGTTGGTCAGAGGACACAAAGAGAGAACATGAAAGGGAAAATGAGAAATCACTCCCCTTGGGAGGATGGCATGTGGCAATTTTTTCCCTCCATTTTCCTCTCAGGATTTTGGGCATGCACACATACACAGTGTGTTTTTCAAGTTACTAGATCTAGGACTTGAATCACAGAGTCAGCCATGTAGGATCCAGTACCTTAACCACCATGCCACCTGCTGGGCCTACAATAAATTCTTTATTGAAAAAAGACTACTGGGAACCAGCAGTTAGCGTAATGGCTATGTCACTGGACTCCCACGTAGTCGACTGCGGTTCATGTCCCAGACCCGGTGGGTTAAAACTCACGCCGGGCGCGTGTATGTACGTGCCCAAGATCCCGAGAGGAGAATGGAGAAGGGATTGCGGCATGACCATCCCCCCTGGGGGGTGATTTCTCGCTTTCTGTCTCTATGTCTCTCTCTGTTTCTCCAGTAAGCACATGGCCTTATAGCAAAAACCTGTCTTGGGACCAGCAAACAGTATAACGTTGCTGGACTCCCACGTAGTCAACTGCGATTCAAGTCCTGGACCCGGTGACTTAAACTCACACCAGCAGGTGTGCATGCATGCCCAAGACACTGAGAAGAGAATGGAGAAGGGATTGAGCATGGCCATCCCCCCTGGGAGGGGGGGGTGATTTCTCACTTTCTCTCTTTCTGGCCAACACACATATCCCCACAAAAAAATCTTAAAAAAAAACCCCCCCCCCCCCCCAAAAAAAAAAAAAAACAAAAAACCCTCTCTTAAAAAAAAAAGACTGCCCAGGCCAGTAGGTGGCATAGTGGTTGGGGTGCTGGACTCTCACATAGTTGACCGAGGTTCAAATCCTGAACCTGGAGGCTTGCCTTCTCTTTCTCTCTCGTGAGCACACATGCCCTATAGCAAATTTTAAGTAATAATAAAACTAAGTAAATAATTTTAAAAAAGAAAAACTACCCAACAAATCAAAATCCTGACAGTGGTGATCTTTGCAGAGGTGGATAATAGTTATAGTGGTTTGCTTTTTGCTACATGGTCTTTTTTTTTTTTTGGTGAGGTTTTTCCATAGGGGGTGTCTGCTCCCCC